CACAAGACTGGAACACCAGAAAAGAGCTCAGAACAAAGCTAGGAAATCTACGCAGGATCGAAGAGAATAGACAAGCAATCATACAAGTTATCCCAGACTCATGGGTAGATATTCTCATAAGACCGAGTGAGGACTACGAAGAACCGCAGTGGTGGAAGGTCCCGTTTACATCCTTCTTTATCAGAATAGAGAAAGTAATAGGGAATGGACAAGTGGAAGTAACAAAATGGGAACTATCAAGCTCGCGGTTGGTGCAGACACAAGGAGACACAGTAGTGAAGACCCCAGTGGGATGGGAAAGGATCGGCGTAACTCGAAAGAAAGGACAAGGGGGGAATAATGAATTCCAGGTATTATTGGAATCCAATCCAGTCTATGAATGGAGAGTGGATGTGGACAAAATCGGTTGGAAAATAATAGACACAGCAGGGGTTACCTCGACGGTACCACTCACTGACTACTCATCCAAGATTGGGTGCAAGTTGCAGACTAAGAGCCATGAGCTGCGAGAGAGCCTGAGGATTGGATGGGTAAACAAGTGTAAATCATTGGGGTTACAGACTATTGAGTCTAAATGGGTTACCTTTTTTATTCATCTACTATTAGGGGCATTGGAAACCAAGACAGAGGGGGTTACAGTGGTTACACCTCCACTCTTGCGTCCCAATAAAAATTGGGTGCTCAGAAAAGGGCATGGAAGTTGACACTTTATGCAGAGCCTGCCCACAAGCTGCATTAGAAAACTCGTTGCATCTATGGTGGGAATGTGTCATTGCAAGAGGTTTTTGGGACAAATTACAACAAATGTGGTCACAAGCATACGGAGGGTCTCTAATATGGCAGAAGGAATTGACTTTCAGGGGTAGAACACAACAGGCTTGTGACAAATAGTCTCTCAAAATAGCACAGTCATTTCGGGTGAGAGCCTTTTGGGTGCTTTGGATAGCTAGGAGAGACCGAATCTTTTCTCAGAAAGCCACCACCCTGGGCTCTATCTTCGCAGAATACAAGCATGCTATCAGACTAGACATCATGTCGGAGTGGGTCAAAATCAAGAAGCAAACAGGATCGCCAAAATCTCCCAAGATCCGCTTCCAATCTAAGTGGGCTTCTCTACATTCTTGGGCCTACTTCGATGACAGGGACAAGCTCAGGTACTTGGAGCTGTTGTGGGACCACCCACTCACAGACCTAGTGCCTCGTTAGACCCTCCTTGGAAATCCGATTTTCAGGAAACCGGCATCGTTACACCGCGTCCTAATTCACCAAATTCCTTGAATGAATGTGAAAACGCTCCCGAGAGATTTCCTTAGTTTCCTCAGAATCCCCAGCCAAAACGTCCTTAGATTCAAGGGGTCCTCGCGAGGTCCCTTGTGCTCAAGGAGCCGCGATTGACGGATCGTCGTGGAGTGTGTGTCGACACCGAAAATTGGAGTTCTTCGTGGTCCAGAGGTCGTCCGTAGTCCATCGGGCGGACAACATCGGCTTCCAGCAGGCGACAGGCCCCCAACGACGTTGTGCCGTTACCGTTGGCGCGTCGAGGCTCGGGGGGCGGTTCTTTAGCTACGACGCCATTCATGTAGCGGGGTTGTCCTTGCGCGCATCGTTGGGCGTGGTGTCCAACGGTCGACTTTTTTGAAATTTATTTTGTCCCTGTCATGTGAGCAGCTTCGGCCGACTGCTGTTCTCCTCGACATCGTCCATTGCCTGATATTGACATGCGCGCAAGAGGGATCTCCAGTCGGTGCAGATTGGCAGCTGCTGCGATTCATGGTAGACGTCCTCCGACGGCTCCCGCTCCTGTTACTGGCCACTCTTCTCCTGCTCCGAAAATTGGAGTTCTTCGGGGACAACGCCTCCACGATCTCCCGGAACACCCTCGGGGACATCCTCAACTTCTCCTTGTAGTAGTCGTCTGCTGCGTCATCCATCTTCCGGAGATCCTCCCGTGTGCCTCCCGTCCTTTTCCTCATCCACCACCTCGGAGTCGCCCGCGGGATCACATCGGATGCGATGGCGCACATGGACACACAGTCGGGCGCCTCCATCACTTGTTGCAGGAGCTGACGCTGCCTGTGAATTGACAGTCTCATCTTGAGGCGCGCTGTCGTTCTCTCGATGCGATATCGCATGGCGACCGCCGAAACAGCTGCAACCACCGCATTTCTCTCCGAAGTTGTCAAGGCATTGCCACTGCGCTGCAGCTCTCCGACCATGATGACGTCGCGCAATGCGCTTTCACCACCCTCTGCGTCAGCTGCCGGCACCGTCATTCCACAGTTCCACTCTCTCCACGTGGACGGGGAAGGCAACAGTCTCACACAACTTCGACGGAGGGGCACAGTGCGAGCTCTGCTATGGCGGCCCGCCGGATTGTCGTCGACACCCCCAACAGGAATGTGGAACCCGTTATAGCGGACGCACTCCGAGATCTTCACCGTTCGCGCTGCGTCGGCACACGTTCCAATACCCGCGCATTCAGCGATGGCCGCCGCAAATCCTCCGCGCAGACGTTTCGCTCCGGTGTCCACTCCAGCGGTCTACACGCCACGGTGTGTCGATGCGTATCGGCCAAGGGTTTGAAATTTGAAATTTCAAAAGGGATTTTCGCGCCGAATTTTCTCTTCGCAGCCCGGAAGGCCTCCTTGCCGCCGCCACTGGACCATGCCTGAGGACGGACGGACATCCCACCACGACGACGGACATCGACCCCCGCGGCCGCGTATATGCATATGAAATTGGCCGCCGGAGGCCTCCAAGGGTTCTCCTTGGGACCCACTCGATTAGGACGTGGTGTAACGACTCCACCAAAAACCGTAAAATTTTCCAAGGAGTTCATCCTAATTCCGGAGGATTTTCCAAGGAGGGTCTAACGAGGCCCCTAGGCATTATTGATTCAGCACGCAGCCCATCAGCCTGAGAAGGTCTGAGGTCCCTTCTGAGGCTCGTAAGGGCACTGAGGAGCAGCAGAACGCATAAGGCTATCAGAAAGCTATGTCATTGAATCTAAAAAGGGACGCCGGACCCGATTTTCTTCCGTCATATGCAGAGATGCTAGAATTACTAGAAGTTTTTTTTTTTTTTGGGGGAAAGGATGCTGGACCTGGTTTCCAGCCTGTTTGCTATCTCTTCTTCTGAGGACACTGGACCTGCTTTCCAGTCTGATACCCAAGATAGGATGCTGGACCTGTTTTCCAGCAATCCGGGGGTTGAATTGTGAGGTCCCGGGCGTCTGTTCTTGTCCTTTAATACCAACAAGCAAAGTTTACAAAAAAAAAAACTTCGCCGGTGGGACCTACCCTCTTCCCCCAAACACAAAGCACCCTCATCTTGGCTGTACAGGACGGGAAATATAGCTATACATCCTTTTCTGAGGACACTGGACCTGTTTCCCAGTTTTGCTACTCAAGACAGGACGCTCGACCTGTTTTCCAGCTTTGCTACTCAAGACAGGACGCTGGGCCTGCTTTCCAGCAATCCCGGTTGAATTGTGAGGTCCCCGGCCTCTATTCATGGCATTTTCATACCAAGGAAAGTTCTACAATTCAACCATATCTTAGTCAGAGGCTCACAGCCTAAGTTTCCAAAGCTTAGCTACGCTGTGAGGCTCTCTACCTGTTGTTTAGCTATCTGTCTTACAGCCACCAAATATTTTCGCACTAAACGTTATTTATATCTTGTGTTTTGGAAAAACAAAAAGAAAACAAAGTTGTGTGGCCTATCTCAGTTGGTTAGGCATGCAAGAGGCATTCAGGAGGTTGTGGGTTCAAGCCCCATGGCCGCCTACGGCGCACTTAGTGCCAACGGACTGTGATAGTTCTCTGGATACCCCTGATCGGTATTAGCGGGGTCTATGACCAACACGGGTGTGAGTGTGAGCACGAGTGGGTTGTGTGTGGTGTGTGGGAGACTGATAGTCCTCTGGATACCCCTGATCGGTATTAGCGGGGTCTATGACCAACACGGGTGTGAGTGTGAGCGCGAGTGGGTTGTGTGTGGTGTGTGG